AGCCCAGCCCAGAGAGAAGGCCAGGGTCCTGGTGCCAGAGAAAACTGTGCCAACAGCCAAGGGAAGGGAAGCCTATTGCACGAATCTCTTCGTGCAACAGGCCTCTAGTGTGTTTTATATAACACTAGAGGCCTGGTGCACCAGTGGGGTCCCTCAGCCTGGCCTGCGGGATCAGGCTGAAATTGGCTCTTCAACATCCCCTGAGGGGTTGCAGATTACAAGAGGGTGCAGGCCAGGCTGAGGGACCCCACCAGTGCATGATCAGGGCCAGGGAGAGAAGCAGGAGGTTAGCCAGCTGGGGAGGGACTGCAGGAGGGTTCCAGGGCATGTCCAACCCATCTCTCTCAGTTCCGATCAGCCGGACCCCAGCAGCAAGCTAACCTACAGGTCAGAAAATCTGCCCCCTGGTTGTCAGTGCACATCATAGTGAGCAGTTGAGTGGCCTTAGCATATCTTTAGCATATTACCCTTTGATTGGTTGAACAGACGACTGGACACTTAGCACATTAGGCTTTTATTATATAGGATGCAATCTAGTCATAAAAAATCCCTTCAGGTTGTTCCCAGTACTTGTTAGATACAAATCAAGATGCTTAGCATGACATACAAGAAGCCTTGAAAAGTATCTTGTATGTCATACTAGATCCAGAGACATAGAATTTTCGAGCAGATTGTCAAACCTCAGAAGAAAGGCAGGAGGGGGTGGACGGATGGGAAGAGATCAAACAATTAACTTGTATGCATATAAGAATAACCAATGGACACAGACAATAAGGGGGTAAAGGCCTGGGTTGAGGGGTGGGGACAGGCTGGGAGAGGTCAATGGGGGAAAAGGGGAACATATGTAATACTTTCAACAATAATGAATTTTAAAAAAGAAAAATATTTATGTAATTCATTCATTCTTGACATCTTCAAAGTGTTTTTTCCCCCCATACCTCTGCACCTTATACTTTGACCTTCCTAAATACTGACTCGTCAATAATACCCACCACACATGTGCTATTTCTAGATTCCACAATATTGGGCACACTGTTTCTTTCCCCACACACTTCATTTTCAGGAAAATTCATATTTACTGTTTAAAAATTTCTTTGTGTATCATCTCAACTCTGAAGTTTTTCAGAGTACCACTCTGTCCTGTCATATACTGCCTATCTCCTTTATATCATTTCTGTTCTTTATATATATTTTCATTATCCATGCAATTCATATTGTAAATATTCCCTTTCATGTCTAATTTCTCTGTTTGACTGTGAAATCCTTGAAGCCAGGAACTTCATCTTAGTCTTTGTTGTACCTCCCTATCCAAGAGAGTGCCTGCTAAACAGTAGGAAGGCTATGAGCAATGATCAGATTATTCATATACTTGTGTGTTTTAAACACACACATAGACTCAAAGGTCTGTTTAATAATGGGCTTGTAGAAAGCTTAATCTCTTTCAGCTCCCCCCGGCCCCCCTTCCCCACACACCACTAAAGTTTCTAGGTGAATTCTATTTTCAATGCAATATGTAAATGGGAATCAAGTCCTAATTTAAAAATTGCATTTGTCTCTGTATGTTATGCATAAAAATATGTAGTTGGTATCTTCAAGTCCATAAAATTAGAAAACAACAAAGTATAGTTGCAAAGCATATTGCATTTTATGTCCTTTCCTGTTATCAAATGGTAATAAGAGATAGTTATCAATATGTATGACTAAAAATTATCATAGGAAATAAAAAAGAGCTCTGTTTGTTTTAATTTAAATAATACAAACAAAGTTACTTACCCAAAGCTTCACTATAATAGGAATCCCACGATTTCCAAAGAGTATCAAACATGTAGTCCTGTAGATGGTAGGAGATGAAATTTCTTATTCTGTCAGTGAAAGACATCTGGTCGGTGAGTTCTGATAAAACAGCAGGAACATAGGAAGGAGGGTATGGTATCTTCCCACAGTGTTTTTCCACTGTTGATGCTGGAGAAAACCTTAAGGAGTACATAAATGGAATTCCAAGTTTTAAAGCTACTATATCACCACAAGGAAATACTGGATCTGATACCAGGACGTCAAATTTGCTTTTCTTCAGCTTTTCCAGCAGCTTTTGGTTTTTGAGAACACCATCACAGATTTCTCTACTCAGCATGTGGAAGTCCTCGACGGCTATGCCAATCTCCTGATAGAATCTCCAAATGGTTGAAGGAGTTGGTTTATTTCCCATCCATGTCAAAATAAACTTCTTGATCGTTTCTTCCACTTTTTCTTTCTCAAAGGGCACCTTATATATTTCATATGTCAGAGATGGGTTAGAGGTGGGCTTGATGTAGAGTGCACCAGAAGCAACTAGGACAGTCACATTATGCTGTTTGTTAATCAGCTCATCTATAATTATCTTAACATTTAGCCAATGACTACCTTCCATTGGCCAAATCAGAACATTCCCACCAAGAGTGACTCCCAGGAGACTTATCTGAAGAGACAACAGCAGAATGGATTTTTCTAACATGATGTGGCTTGACATAGAAAATTTGATGAGATGTGACACAGACAAATTTCTCTGCATTTAAAACAAAAAGGAAAAAAAATTATTTTTCAGCTTGATTCAAACCAGTGATAGCCTTAAGAGCGTTCTATCTCTAATGAATGTTACTTGTCGTGGTAGCTTCATAGTTTATGATAATTACAGGTTTAGGGGCAACGTGTGTTGTACCTTTCAACTTGTTGCTTTAGCTTTAGTTATGATTCTTTTTTCTTAAACTTAATCGTTGAACCCTTTCTTTGCATCTCATAATTGTTAAAGTCTTACTATTCGATTTCTTGAAGCCACTATATATCTGAACTCTACACTCAGACCTGGGAACTGATACTTCAGATGTGACATGAAATGTAGAGATGCAAACTCTATAATTAGCTTAGAAAGTAGAGATGCTAATTCTATAGGTTTTTCAATATTTAATACATTTTATATAATAGCATTAGCAAAAATTATTATTTTTTAAATATATCTTCATTGTTGAAAGTATTACATATGTCCCCTCCCCCCCCCCTCCAATTGACCCTCTCCCCTCTACTCCTGCCCCTTCCCCTCAGGCCTACTACACTGGTACCTGTGTCTATGGGTTATGCATAAATGCATATAAGTTCTTTGGTTAATTTCTCCCCCTCTCCCCAACTCTCTCCCCCTGAGCCCTTCCCTCTGACATTTGTCTATTCCATGCTTCCATGTCTCTGGATCTATTTTATTCATCAATTTATTTTGTTCATTTATTCCTCATATAAGTGACATCATGTGATAGCCGTTTTTCTCTGACTGGCTTATTTTACTTAGAATAATACTCTCCAGATCCTATTATTATAGTTATCAGTTATTAATAGATAAGATTATTACAAGGAGAAGACTTAAAATGTTAAGTACAAACACAATAAGTATCATATTTATTACTACTTTATCTTAATAAATCACTGAGAAAAAATGGCAAGTAAGTAAATAAACTGTGTATGAGTACATATGCCTGAGATGATGGGTAATGCTACTGGTAAATAAGAGCTTTTAGAAGAGACTTGCTAAGTCAAGCATGCTTCTGTGGGAAGTGCTGCTCAAAAGGCCAGCTAGCCTGTGTGAATAACAACAACTTTACATTTAGACTTAGCCTTTCATAATTGCTAACATTTGTTAACTGCTCACTACCTATCAGACATTGTGTAATGTGTTGTACGTATGTTAATGTCATTTACTTTGCACTTAATAATTATTTTCACATCAAAGAAGAAAATATTGGTCAGAAAAGCTGAGTAACTTGGTAAGTTTATAGAACAAAATAAGAAAGGAACTGATGGTAGCTGCCTTAAGGCTCTTTGGCTCCAAAGCCTATTGTGTTGAGAAAATTGATACAAATGTAGCCATTTCAAAAAAAGAGCCCACCATCCCTTGCACATCTTGTTCCTTATACATTTCAAATGATTGAACTGAGCAAATAACCTTTGGACTTGAGCCAAACCAACATTGTCTTGAAAAGAATTGTTTGTAAAGTTAATAGGAAAGCAGACCTCCTCACCACAAGCACTGATGATTTTGACATTTTTAATCAGCAACCAGCCATGTATAGTTAAAAAGTAATTTAGCTTGTTAGCATCAATAGAAATTCCTTTATTCTATCTATGTATTATTTCCCTTCTCTTTCTCATAAAAACCCCTTTCCTTCACCCCCGTAACTGGGGTACAATTTGGGTTCCTTCCTGAATTTATCCCCATGGATTTCAGTTTGTTTTGACCTCAAATAAATGCTTGTTGCCTCACTTTGGACTTTATTTTTCAAGTTATCAGCATTCACCACCAGGACAGAGTGCCCCATTAGAGTGTATCATGTCACGTTATCAACTACAACACAAATCTTCGTTAGAGGTATGGTATTTGATACTCATCTGAGTTCCTTTCTATCTGCTAGATGGGATGGTGCCCGAATCATGAATTGTTGAATAAAGCCAGTAAGACCTATAAAATTTACATAGTTGAAGTTTGTTTTTTAACAGAAGTATCTGGACATGAGTGATAAGCAGTGTGTACAAAGGAAACTTTGAACAGTTCGTCACACAAACAAACATTTTGATTAAAAAAAATCTCAGTAATTGTGACTTTGAGAAAAACAACTTTGGAGAAAAAGCCACTTTGCTTTTCTCAGTTACTGCTTAGGCATTTTATAGTATGACTAGCTGCCCGGAGCATGAAATTAGTGCACTAGGCGGGGGAGAGGTGTCCCTCAGCCCGGCCTGTGCCCTCTCACAGTCCAGGAGCCCTCGGGGGATGTCTGACTCCCCTGGGGAGTGGGCCTAAGCCCTCAGTCGGACATCCTTAGCGCTACCTAAAACTATGATACATATATTTGTGAAATCAGGTGTGTTCAAAGAAAAATGAATATATTTGAAAAGAAGCTAGTCTATACAAATGTTTTTTATCATAGATGATAGTAAAAGATGTGCTGTAATTATTTGTACAAAAAGGCACAACAGGTTATTGATGCTACAACAGTATTTTCTTGAGAAGCTTTAAATTTCCTATTTTTAATAAATAAATTTGATTTTGCATAAACCCATTTATATATACAACATATACATTTAAAATATATAAAGTTAAAATATGTAAATATAAATAATCCATTACACAATATTAAAGAAAGAAAATACCCAGAAAGGACGACATTTTGCTTCTTGTACTTGTGCTGTTTTGAAGACCATTGTGACTTGTAAGAATCATTTTTGCCTCACCATACATTAGTATACATCTTATTTCCTATGTTATGTGTGCCTAATGAAGGAACAAATGACCTTTCCACTGGTAGAAAATATAGGAAATAGATCAACTTTTAAAGGGTCCAATGAACTCACACTTAGAAAAACTCTCAATTTATTCCTCTATAATACGCTTCCCTCAATATCTACTAGTATACAGTCATTATGAAGTGTAACTCCTGGGAGGAAAAATCCCCCCAAATTATTTCAAAATAGATCTAAAAACTTTTCAAAGGGAAGTAATAAAACAACCCAAAAGTTAACCCACCAGGTTGTAATGGTTGATATTGCTATTAAAAGAAAATATAAAATACATCCAAATGTTTATTACACAGTGATTTTATATAGCTTATACACTGATTTAAATTTCTTACCTGAAGTTTACAGCTGGACCTTTAAAAGCAATCGTTTGCCATTAGGTACCTGAGCATAAATAACCCCTGGGTGGGTAAGTGTGGTATGATGTGAAATATGATCTTAAGTAGACAGGCTTGTTTACTCTTAGCATTCTTTGTGAATTACAGTATTAAGCAGATTAAGTTGTGCAAAAGGTATATCCTTCAACCACTTTCCTGGCAAATATTTGCATTGAGTATTGTCTTTGCTATCATTGTCTCCACTGCTCCCATCAACCAAGAATGTCAGATGTATCTGAAATAAAGACTGGTAATGATTAATAATCTTGGCTTATTATTAAGAAGTATGTAAAATTAATAAATCTCAAACTAATGCCACATAAAATTATCATTATTATTTATTATAAAAAGAAATTTTAAAAAATTAAAGTGTCTTATTTTTCCAAGTCGTATAATGATGAGAGTTGGTTATGTTAATTCAAATTAACCACAGCAGAGTTGAATTGCTCTGAATAATGAAGAAATATCTCTGAAAAATCTTGTTTTTTAAAAAATTTTAATGTATTTTAAAAGATACTAATTTAGGTAATTAAATATGTGTTTTAAAGTTTTATATTTTCATTATGCAACATCCCTGTGAATGATATTCTATCCTATCTAATAATAGACAAACATGGTAATTGACTGTACCTTTGCTTCACCTCCCATAGGCTAATCAGCACAATATGCAAATTAACCGCCAACAAAGATGGTGTCAAATTTGCACACTGTAGGCGCAGGGTGGGACAGCAGGAGCCGCCAGCGTGCCGCCATCCAGGGCAGGCCCGGCCCCGCCTTGCCACCCGGGATGCCATCAGCGGGTCCCGGGTGGCAAGGCAGCCTCACCCCAGGAGCCGACCCCCCCTTGTCGGACCCAAAAGCCCCAGAAGCCAAGACAGGTTATGAGGGTGAATCAAAAACAAAAACCACTTTAAATATAAAGACACATATAGATTAAAAGTAAATGAATTAATCTGAAGCCTGTTTTGTTCAGTGGATAGAGCATTAGCCCGTGGTTCGATTCCAGTCAAGGGCATGTACCTCAGTTGTTGGCTTGATCCCCAGTCCCTATCAAAGCATGTGCAGGAGGCAACCAATCAATGTGTCTCTCCCTTTCCCTTCACTCTCTCCAATATTCAATGGAAAAATATCCTTGGGTGAAGATTAACAAAAACAAAGTAAATGGATTAAGTAACATTAAAGAGATTATAAGAAAAATATATTCCAAATTTTGTTAGTTGTATAATGGTTATGTTTAAATTATTAACACCTAAGAAATTGGGTGAAGGATACATATAATATGCTGTAGTATTTTATAGTTTTTTTACATGTATGATATTATTTCAAATTAAAATATTAAAAAATTAAAATTAACAAAATATTAATTGAAATGTATCTGCATTACATGAAAAATCTCCAAATTGCTTCTAGCATAATTTATTAAATTGTGCTAAAATTTACAAGAGTTCAATTAAAAAAATCTTAATTCTAAATGATATAATAGAAAATATATAATAGTGCAGTTATAAGCACTTATCTGAAAATAAAAATTTAAAGAAGTGAATTTAAAGAAGGGATTAGCCAAAGAAAATATATGTACGACCCATGGACACAGACAACAGTATGGTGATGACCAGAGAGAAGTGGGGGGCAAGAGCTGGGTAGAGGGGGCAAAAGGGGGGAAATACGGACGTCTTATATAATAATAATAATAATAATAATAATAATAATAATAATAAACGGCTAATATGCACATTGACTGAAGGGCATAATGACCGGTTGCTATGATGCACACTGGCCACAAGGGGGCAGATGTCAATGCAGGAGCTGCCCCCCTGGTGGTCAGCGCACTTCCATATGGGGGCT